TGTGTGTGTACGCACGCATGTGTGTAGATGGGGCAGAGGAATATTCAAGGCTAAGCTGACTGTGGATATAATACTGGTGCCCATATATAATAAGCCACGACTTCCTCCTCATATCCCTATAAATATCCACTTCCAAAATTTTAATGACTTAAGGTGGTTCTCTATCATTTATCTATTTCAACATTCAGCTCAGAAAATAGTCATTGTAGTCAAGTTAACTTTGACTCCAAAGTTAAATGCCACAATTTAACCAATGGTGGGTCTCTGAAATAAAATACTTAATATTTCAAACCAACAGTGCAAATCAAAGCTAAGATCTTACTGTTTCAAGGAATTCTTCCTCACAATTGCATCACAGGTGTAGTCTTTAAAATTGTTCAAGCACATGCTTCTATAATGTTAAAAAGCTCCTGATATGATCACTTGAAATCAAGTGGCACTGCCAATGACCAAACCACTTAGCTTTACAGTGCCCAAAATATTTACAATTAAATTAGATGATGTATTTTCATATTAGGCAAGCTACAATCTGCTCTTATGTAACTGCACTTGAAGAATGAAAAGTTTAGTCAATTTGCATTTTATTGTTGCAGTATTCCATTCTCTTTTTTTTTTTTTTTTTAAAGGTGACACCTTGAACCTGCTTTTGGCATTGACCAGCTATAAGCAACTGATCCCTATGGTTTTAAATTTGAACATTTGGCAGGACTAACTGACACAATGATACTTTCATTCTGAGCCCCCATCCCCCACAGTGACCTAGGTATTTTCAACCTTTTATTTCTCTTAGAAAAACCTACATTTTGATAAACCTTTCAGATTTAGCCATTGCCTACATAAAGAGAGATGACTTTTTGATGACTTTTCTCATTAACATTTCAGTTTGACAATATTATGTCTATGAAGCTATTAGCAACAACACTGTAAACATATACACAGGTATAGGTAGCCTTTGACATACAAATGCTAATGCTACTTTGCTTTGGAAGCACACAAATAGCCAGAGGTTGCTGATATTTCCACAAGCCAATCTCTTCTCCTTTTCCTTTTCTTTTCTGTCTTTTTGAGACAAAACCACCAACCAAACAAAAACAACCAACCAACCAACCAAACAAACAAACAAAAAAACCTAAACCAAAACAAAACCTGTTTCACTATGCAGTTCAGGCTGGCCTTGACTTCACAGTGATCCTCCTGCTTCAGCCTCCCAAGTGCTAGGATTACAGGTGTGTGTCACCTTGACCATTTTTTCTCATCTCAGAAAAAAGTAAAGTTCTTAAATTTTAGGAAATGAAAAGCACGCATATGTCAAGGAAACAGGTAGCTACAACAGGAAGATCTGGGCAGGGCCACAGTACATGGAGAAAGTACAAAAGGACATGGGAATGGGAATAAGGAAAGGAAATATAACGGTTATAAAAATTATTTAAGCAGTTGAAAATTTCATGTGGAGTTAGGCCTATACCAAGAAGTGTGAGCAGGAAGTATCCTTTCTTATTATAGTGAAAAGAACCAAAAAAAAAAAAAAAAAAAAAAAAAAAAAAAAAAAAAACTAGCCTCAAAACTTACCTACCAGTCAAGTTTTTATGAGAAAGCAGATTTCAATTTCAGCATGCATTTGGACAATAGCTGAATGCAATGGGAAAAGGCACAGTTTCAGCTCCCATGTTCAATGGGAAAGTAACTAAAACTGGTAAACAACCAATAACATTACACAGTGATCTGAAGAAAATAAAGGGGTGAGCCAGAATGCAGTAACAATTTAAACAGTTGTTAAACATCTTTTATAGCTTTTATATCAAACTCAGGGAAAAGAAGGAGCTAGACACCTTAAGAGCAGGAAGAATAGTCCATGAGGCATGAAAGAACTTGTTTTGTTCATGTATCTGAGAAATCCCAAGGGCTGGAAAAGCAGGATAACATGAAGTTTGAAGAGTCAGAGGAACACAGACGTTTGTAGACTATGGCAAGACAAAACTTTATTCTGACATAATGGGAAACTTTAGTAAAATTTAATAATTCTGACATAACCAGAATTATTACGAGGTATTATGAATTATGAGTTTATAATAAAACCTGTAATTTTGGAGCACAATTTGATAGCTGAGGATATGTTTTTATATATCACACAAGTGAATATTTTAAACTGTAAAAAAATTCCATTACCTGTAATTCAGTTTATGATACTGACTGAAACCTCAGTGATTGTAACCAGTGCGTTCACTATAACCTGGGCCCAGAGTTCTGCTCCCTTTTTAGCACTGGTCACACTGAATGTTTTCTGCCTGTTGATCTGTTTTGTTTTGTTCTTTTCATACTGCTCAGTAAGCTCCACCAATGCAAGCAAGGGCCATGCCTGTTTTGTTAACATTCTTTTCCCATAATCCCATACTGTAGCTAGCACTAAGTAGGTAATCAAATATGATTCATTTAACATTTAACGAGCACTCTACATTTTTCTAGACCCCATAGAAATTTCAAAAACAAATACACCATTCTATAATCTGAAGACGCTCAAAGGGTTGGGGGCAATTTCATACAGAGCTAAATTATAACATGCTGTCAACAAACTGTTCTCAGAATCTAATGGAGAAAGACATATGGTCTGACAAATCATTTCTTTGCGCAGGCATGGTTAATTATAAGAATAGGCCAACAAAAGAACAAAAATATAATCAGCTATTTAATGTACACATTTAATAAAATTACAACTTATAGGCCTAAAAAAAATCCATCACACAGAACATTTGTTCTCATGGCAGCTGAAGACAATGGCCTCCTGCCTACTGTATTCCTATTGTGGACTTCAGCACAGTGAGCATCTGACACACATCAAATTTAAACAAACAAAAAGCAAAACCCGAATATCTAATTGCTGAGCAGAGCATAAGGTAAACTTACACAACATCCAACCTGTTGTGTAAAATTCCACATTTTCCACTCCCCCCTGCCGCCCATAGGTGAGGGTGCCAAGTTTTGATCTGCACTGATTCAGCACTATGCTTACAATCTTTTCTTTGGGAATTGGGTAATACATAGGTCTTCCCCACCCTTACGGCCTTGCTAAAGGAAAATACTAATGTCGACATCAGCAGAAAAGGGAGTAAGAAATGAAGAACAAGTGAAGAAACGAAGAAAAATGACACAAAATAAAAGCAGGATCACAAGATTAAGTTCAGTATTATTTAACAAATGATCCATAAAGTAAGTTTACAAAAAACAAAAGCCTTTTCAACAGACTTGGAAGCAAAAATGGTACTGTGTGATACAACCTGGATCTAGTCTTTTGCTGAAGAGAAACTGCATTTTTAAAAAAGGAAATCATTTTCTCTTAGGAGGCAAAAAAAAAAAAAAAAAAAAAAAAGCAAAAGCCTCGCATTTTAGAGGTTATTTTCTATTAAGAATTTCACAGCATGATCCTTAGGAAGAAAACAACAGCACCTTCTGCCAGTTTAACCTAACTTATTTAGCTAACAGATCTAGCCAACTTATTTCTCACATTAAGGGTTGAAATGCAAAGTTGTACAGGGACTTTTAACTAGTTTTTCATAGCACAGAATGAGTATGCAGCTTTCATAATTTTATTTTTTGTGATCTTATGTGAACGTCAATGATTGTAAACTGGTAATGTTTCAAATACCTTTTCTACAACGTTGTGTTTTGAATCAGTCAATCTAATACACACGGACTTGGTCGCCTTCCTACTAGTTCATGAGTAGGAACTGAAAATTCTCAACACACACAAACGCAACACTAGTACTCGTTGAAAAGCTGCTACGATTTTGCTTACTGTCATAACACTGATTCAGTGATAAAACTACAAGACTTTAGGCAAAATGATATATTTAATACCAATGATGCAAAAAGGCAAAAATATCAAGCGCCAAACTGGATATTTCTATTCAGAACTGCACGGCATGGAAAAAAACAAATATGGCTAAATGTAAAGGTCTCATTCGTCCAGACGTTCCTCCAAACGTTCCAGGGAACGTCGGCAAACACCAGAAACCCTCTCGTCTTTCCTCCTTCCAAGAACACTGCTGAAATGAAACCTCGCCGGGAATCCCGGAGCTTGTCGATACAGTCTGAAATTTCTAGAAAAGTTGCTGACCAAGAAGTGAGGCCCAGCCACGGAGCACCAGCACCACCTTCCCAAGTAAGTCAGAGCCGGCACAGGACGCTGCAGGGCTGGAGGGCCGGAGGGATGGGGTGCGCGGGGCGGGAGGGTGTGGGCGAGACGGGCAAGGTCGGCGCCCGGCGGGCAGCGCCCCAGCCCTGGACCCGCTCGGCACGGGCTTCGGCGGCCCGCGCCACCCGGGCTCCGCTCCCACCCTGCTCCCCGCCTCCCGCGCCGGGGCTCCGCCACCTCCGGCTCCAGAGCCCCCGAGGGGTCACTCGCCCGTCGCCGTCCCCACAAGCCCGCGCGAGGCCACCCTGCGCGAGGAGGAAGGACCGCGTCTGCCTCTGCTAGCCCAGAGCAGCTCGCCCGCAGCGCCCGCCCCGGAGCTTCCAGCCCCCTCTCCACTGGTCCTGGGGGAGCAGCCCCCCCACATGCCTTTCCCTCAGAGCCGATCCACCCCCTCTCCCCCCGCAGCCTTACCCTGACCCCAACAAGTACGCTCCTAGAAATAACTCCGACTCTGGGGCACTGAGTGACTCCGGTCAGCGGCAGCACGTTCACGACACTTTCGCGACTGCCGTAAAGCGAGCGAGGGTAGGAAGGAGCGGAGGCGCGCCCGGGCTGGACGGGTCGCTCGGGAGCGCGCACAGGCCCCGCCCCTTGTGCGAGCAGCCAGCAGCCCGGGTGGACCGGAGAGGTCAGCCGGGAAGGTAGGCCGAAGGGCGGGGTCCTGGAGGAGGACGGCGTCCCACCCTCGCCCCCACCTGCCGCCGACTCTCCCTTCAGAGTCGGGTGCTGGAGAGCGGGAGGGCTGAGCCGTGGACGTGTGCGCGACTTGCGGGGTCCACGCGGGCCGCCGGGGCCGCGGGCGCGGTCAGTGCCGACGGGCCTCGGGTCGCTGTCCCCCGTCCCTTCCTGGGTCCCCCGGCGTCGCCGCTCCCCGCCTCCCCGAGTGGCATCTCGCCGCGCTCCATCGCTCCAGACAAAGCCAAGCGGAAATCTTCACTTTCGCGCCGCACTTAGAGGAAAACTGCCGCGCCCCAAGCAATTCCTCAGCTTTTGCTTGAGGAGGTTCCGAGAACTTCGCGCCCAGTCCCGCAAGAACCGTGTCGGGGTTTGCGTCATCGCTTCTGGGCTCGTTCCGCGTGGTGAGAGCAGGGAGGGCGAGTGCCTGGGCGCACGAGCGTCGTTCTTTCTGGAATTCCGGTGGCGAATCAAGTTGGTCAAGACCCGAATGGAATTCAGTGGTTAGGCTCCTTATGGGGAGACTTCACTGACTTCGCAGACAGTTTGGTTGGTGACGAGACTCACGGAGAGAATTGAGTTTGTGAACCGAGGTAGCAGCCCAGATGGTGATAGGAAGTTGTTCCATCCTATTCCCAAGTCGTGCTTCGCAGTCACATGCATCGAAAAAAACCCAGAACATTGCCCAGAAATATTTTCTCAGTTCCCCAAAGTTTTAGTTCATAAGTCTGTACCCAAGAGCAGCTCTAGAATTTGTGTTCTGTTATGTGATTCTCATTTCCTTGTAATTTATTTTTTTTTTTTTAAAATCCAGTCTCCTAGGTTCCTTAGGATTTAACTATTAGAGAATGTGTTTGTCAGGAGGCCAGGTTAGAAGTTAGGAAAATAACTGATGTGTAGTATGTTTTGCTTTGGGTCTGATGGTTCTTTGGACCCGAGAGCCGCTTGGGGCTTTTGTCTGTTTACTTAGAAAATTTGGAATTTATTTTCTTATTACTTAGAAGCCACCACTGAAAGGAGCCGGCGAGATAGCTCAGTGGACTAAGTGCATGCTTTGGCAAGGAGAGGGACCAGGGTTTGATCCCTGATCACATATGCCGGCAGCCCCGCCCCCAGGGAGTGCTGAACCGGTGAATCGCTGGGGAGGCTGAAAATAGGAGAATCACTGTGGATCCAAGCTGCATAGTGACACCCTGTACCAAATATATAAATGAGGGGCGAGGGAAAAAAAGAGTTAATGTTAGTTAAAAAAAAATTAACTGGATTTCTGGTCATGGGTATTAAGAGAAAGCACAGAAGAGGACAGTGCATTTTATTCAACACTGTTAGCTTTATGTAAAGTATATTTCTGAATATTTCCAACTATTTTAAAAGGTGTTTTTTTGTTTGTTTGTTTTGGGGGGCCAGGGTCTGGCTTTGTAATTCAGGCTGGCCTCGAACTCACAATGTAGTCCAGGCTTATCTTGAACTCACTATGCCGCCCAGGCTGGTCCCCAGCTGGTGGCAATCCTCCTGCCTAAGCCAAGGCTCCAGAGTGCTGGGATTAGAGGTGAGCGTTCCCATGCCCCGTAATTGTGGTAAGTTCTTTTAAACGGTTTTGAAAGATTTTTAAACCTAATAACTCCTCAAATTCCAACTTTGCTTGGTTGGAGGAGATTGCTGTACCAGGCCTTCATCTTTCCAAGATGAAGTTACATGAGCAAGTATTTAACTTTCTTATCTAGCCTGCATTTTAATTTCTTAGTTGTCATTGGCAAACTGGTAAACCATTTCAGTTATTAGTTTAAACAACAGCCTAAAGAGGTATGAATACAAGATGATTCATACCTAGAAAGTGTACCTAGATGTTGTACCCCATATAGGTGGTTAATTATGACTGTACAAAATTAATAAATGATCTGTTACATATCATTTTTATAGATGAATGATTAAACCTACTCCTTTTTAATTTTTGAGAAGGGCGTCTGCTCAGTCCTTAAGTCGCTCAGGTTAGGCACACTCATGATCCTTTTGCCTCAGCCTCTTGGAGTGCTGGGATTCATTATTATGTTTTATTATATTTTATGTTTATTCTGTTCCCTTTCAAGGGACAGTTCTTTGAGGGTTTTACAGATTAGAATACCGTAACTCAAGTGAAGTAATTTGCCTGAAATCATAGTTGGAAAATGGTAACAGTAGAACTTGTTTTCCTTTAGGTAAATCTGGTCTCACAGCTGTGTTCTTTACTTTGCATCAATGCTAGCTATGTTTCATTTTGCTTAATAATAAGCTGTCATTCTTCTCTAATTTTTAGCCCTGTTCTGTAGGAAGAAACTTTCTTTTTCCCTTTTATCCTTTTGAAGTCAGGGAAAGATGTCTCATGTAATAAAGAACAAGAAAATTGATGGCCTCAAATTAAAATGTTATTTAATTCCAGATGTTAACACCATCATTATAAAAAAAATTCTAGTATTAATCCTTTAAAGAAAAATAATTGATAATTTTGTAGCTTCATGTTCGGTCTGTGAACATTATTGGTGCGGTTAAATTGTGCTATTTAAAATCACAATGGTGCACTTGCCCTGGGGCAGGTAATCTGCATCACAGTGGAAGGAGTAAGAGGCTGGGTAGCTCCTCAGCGGATGCCACCATTCCATTTAGCTCTCTGCCCTTTGTTGCTGCCCCTGAAAGGTTGCTCTCTGCCATGTGCCACTCTGCCTTGGAGCTGGCTGAGTGTGGACTGAAACCTCCAGTAACCATGAGCTAAATAACTTTCCTTCAAAAAATAAAAATTAAAAAAAAATTGTGTAGATTTAAATAACTTGCTGGTCCATGGATTTTAGAATTTATAAATGGTGCAGGCTTGAACAGTTTTGAAGACTGAAATTTTGAGAACTTGTAAAGCTGGTAATTTGTCTTTCAAATTCTAAATAGTGGCATTATCTCATTTAGTCTTTTAAAAAATGTATTTGGTAGAGGGTCTACAAGGTCTACAGGGTCTTACACCACAGATCGGACTGGTAGTGATTCTCCTGTTTTCAGCCTCCTAAGTGCTGGGATTATAGGTGTGCGCCACCATGCCCAGTCTCAATTGCCATATCAGGGTGCCCCAGGGATGGGGCAGGCATGGTACGCTGGGGATCGAACCCTGACCACTGTGCTCTGCCTAAATGCATACTTTAGTTCACTGAGCTATCTGGCCGGCCCTTTCATTTAGTCTTTGAGTTACAGTTGGTTATGTATCAACAATGTGTCAGGTTCTTTTGTGTTAGCAGTGTAACCTCTATAATAACTATCCAGCACAGTCCAGTGGAACTTTTCCAGTATAAAGAAATGACTATATTTTTACTATCCTTTGGATAGCTACTAGAAAAATGGACTTTTGAGCACTTAAAATGTGGCTGGTGTAAGACAGTACTGAAAATTTTAATTTTCTGTTATTTTAATTAATTGAAATTTTAACTGAAGTAGCTACATAAACCTGTTGATACTGTATAGACAGTGTAGTGGACACTGATAATATTCCTATATTTCAAAGGAAAAACGGATTCAGAGAAGTTATGAAGCTTTTCCAAATTTTTACAGTTGTACTAAAAAAAGGTTTTGAGCAAAAGAATAATTTAGTAATGTTAATTTGGCAGTGAAGTGGAAGTCACTGAGGTGAAGAAAAAAGCCAGAGACTTGACAGTCTGAGTCACATAGGTACACAGTGTGCATTGGGAGGAAGGATGGTTGTGAATGACTTCTAGAAACAGAATTGCTGTCACTTAGTGAAGTGCGTTAGGACTTTGAGAGCACTGAGGGCTACTCTGAAGTCTTAGAATCTGGGTAACTTAGAAAAAAACAACTACTTATTGAAAGAAAAAACTTTTGAATAGTTTTGAGAATTAAGAGGAATTTTTTTCATTTCAGTAAATATTGTGTGATTACTATGGGTAAAGCTTTTTACTATTCTTAGGTGGAGAAGTGGAGTCCCTCTAAAAGAATTTTATTCACTTAAAACACCTTCCCAGAAGGTGAAGAGAGTCATGACTTCTGAGAATAAGGGGTGTTTCCTTCCAGACAGAAAGGAATTAGAGAAAGTTGTGTGGAAGACAGCAGTTGAACTTTGTTTTAAAGAGTAGAAAGGATATATACATATATATATATATATAGATAGATAGATAGATAGATAGATTAGATATAGATATACATCTATATATGCATCTTTCTATGTATCTATATATATAATAAAATGGTAGGAGGCTGTACTTCTATTAGTAAGGTACACGAACAATTTTTTTTTTTTAAGTTTAGTTTGTGGTACTAAGGATTGAATCCAGGGCCTCCATCCTTTTAATTTTAATTTTTTAAAAACATTTTTGAACCTGCATGTGCCAAAAACAATTTTTTTTTTGAGACACATTCTTTTTTTTTTCTTCATGGTACCGGGGATTGAACTCAGGACCCTGTACTTGCCAGGCAAGCACTTATTTTACAGAGTTGTCTCCCTGGCCCCGAGACACATTCTTGCTAAGTCACCAAGTTGCCCAGGCAAGACTTAAATTTGGTAATTTTATTCAACTTCTCAGAGTGCTTCGATTATAGTTCTATGCTACTGGAGCCAGTAGGAAAAAAAAAAAAAAGTTTTGAAAATCCGTTCACCAAAACACCTAAAGACTGAATAAATGAAGTTACCCTTTAAACTACATAGCAGCTCTTGTAGGAAAGAAAGGGAAATCCTGAGGGCTGCAAAGTCACAGAATCCAGACTGGTTTACCAGTACTGCAACAAGTCTCCTTTGGGGGCATTTGGCTTACAGCAGGATACAGGATAATGAGAAATAAGTGATTCAGAGGCTTCCCTGTTAACCTCTTAGGACAGAAAAATAGAACTCACAAACTCCATTCACATGGTAATTTGCATAACATGTACCTGTGTTTCAATGGATGACATTTTCATGCGTTACAATATCAGTATTTCCATTTGAAATTGTACACTCCTAGCCTTAGAGAACTATCCAAATCAGCTAGGATCTCAGAAGGCTACACTCCTTGAAAGGTAGGATGAGAAGATCCTGTAATTCCCTGCTGGAAAAAAGGAGGTAACAAAGGAATGTACATTTCACCATAGGTTTGGGTGGATAAATAAAGTTACCACCTGAGAACTTAAAACTATGGAGTCTGCCATCACTCAGCATCAAGGTTAAAGGTTACATTATGGTCTTAAATAGTGGAAGCCACAAAATTAAAACACTTGGTCCTGGCTAGTAATGTGCCCAGATGGCTTGACAAAAGTAGGTATAAACCCCCTGGGAAATAATTCAGCCTTTTTAAGTCTTTTAGAATATCCCATATTAAGATCATCCAAATATGAATTCACAATTGAAAACCATGAAATCCTTGGCAAGGGTAGACTGACCAAAAATACTAGACCTGGGTTCCTAAGTACTTTAGGAATATTGGAAACAGAAATGATTCAATATTTGTACAAATTGAGAATTCATGTCCCAGAATCTCATGCTAGAGAAGCTGCCTATAAGATCTTGGGAAGGAATTGGCATTATTAATTTACTAGATAAAAGAAATGTTGATAGAATGTTAAGGACTGACAAGAAACAAGTATAAGAAAGAGGACATTACAATAACTTAGGTTAGAAATTACTGAAACACAGTATACTAGCGACGTTAGGTATAATGAAAGAAACTTACTTAGCAAGATGTAAGTATACATATTTAGTAATAAATCAGATGACCAGAGTAAATGGGAAGTACAAATAAAAAAATGGTTCCGATTTCATTACTTGGAAAGTCAATCTGAGATATGAAAGATGACTGCAGTGGAAGACTGTGTTGGTTAGTACTAATTAGGATCTTTATGAAGTTGGAAAACACTAAATTCTTTTAGGCCATCGAGCTATGAGAGGGAGCTCCTCCATATTATTTTCATGCACGTGTAAGATCAATTTCTTGTAGTTTAAATTGTTTCTATGTTTTTAAAAAATTAATGTATTTAATAGTACCAGCGATTGAACTCAGGACATCTTGCACTTGCCAGGCAGGAGCTTATGCCACTGAGGTATATCCTCAGCCTAAAAATTAAATTTAAAAAAGGCATGAAGATGTATTTTCTAATATACATTATTCACACTTTGGAATTCAAGGGAGAAAGTGATGTGTGGCATATATGTATTTAGGTTCTCTCTCTCTCTTTTTTTTTTTTGTTCCTCATGTAGGAGCTGGAAATGTAATGGTGAATAAGACAGTTGTTTTCTGCTATAAAGAATAGTGAGAAATAAAAGCCCAACAAGCAAGTGACCTGTAAGTATGATGACCATTCTGGTTGGAGGAATACAGGGTGCTGCTGGAAAAAAACAGGGACACTCAACTGGAGCCAGAAAGAGTAGGGATTTGAAAAAAAATGTACAGAAATTAACTGGATGAGTAATGGGCTTGTGGGATAGCATTGTAAGCTAGTCATCCTGACAGGCAGCAGTATACATGAAGGTCTGAAGGTATTCAGGAAACTCGAGCACATTTCAGAATGTGTAGCAGGCTTGCTATGGCAGTGTAGCATAGTGATTCTGCAAACTCAAGTATAAAATTGTTTCAGTATGAATTTTGTCTCTTAAGTGGTCCAACCCTATTGCTTGGGTAGTTCTCTTATCCTCTGTAGTACTATTAAAAAGAATAAATGAGATCATGTATATGAGATGCTTAGAAACATTGCTGACAGTAAACACTGCTTTTGTGATGATGAACAAGATGAGTGTTAGAATAAGGAATTGAGAATAAAGAGTAGCTGGAGATGAGTATAGGAAGATAAATAGAGATCAGATGATGCAAGGAGCTGACAGACCATGTTAGGGAAAGACAGTTTGTAATGGCATAAGAGAACCATTGAAGGATCCTTTGTAGGGAAGTAAAGTGATCAGATTGTTATTTTAGACTTAGAAGGGTTGGGGCCAAGGAGATAGCTCAGTAGAATAAGCGCATGCCTGGCAAGCACATGGTCCTGAGTTCAATCTCCAGTACTGTAGGAAAAAAAAAAAATTAGAAGGATTGCTCTGGTTTTTAGGCTGGAATCTAGATTAGTTGTGATCAGAACTGGAAGAGCATTGGATATAGGAAAAACCAAAAACCCTTAGGAAATATTCTTTGTTTTTAACCCAATAATTATCATTTATCAAGAAGTGTGCAGATTTCTCCCAAATGCTGCCAGTTGTTTCTGCAGCAGATATGAGCTGAGTGTCTTCCGATTCAATTTAGTTCTGACAATTTCTGCTCGGAAAGTGTATTTGGTATTTGGTAGCACCAGATACCAACGATTGAGTGCTCAGCCCTGAAAGACTGCCCCTACTTTGGATACTGTTCACAAGCCCCATGTTGCTTATGATGGTCAGCTATCCAAGGGGATTCACATGATCTCTAAGTCTCTAGAGTGGCTAGAAAAATCAGTTAATTTTAATGCCTCACAGAACTCGTGTTTATTAATTTATTATGAAGAATATTATAAAGGAGGTAGGTAAAGATGTCTATAAGATAAGCGAGGAGCAAGCATTTACCACCCTCTGTCATCATTGTCCATACTCTAACCCATCTGGGTGCACCATCTTCCAGGATCTTTGTTTAGATCAGCTGTCTAGAAGCTCTCTAAAACCAGTCTTTTGACGACTTATGGACATTTCATTGTGTAGGCATGATTGATTAAAATATTGGCCATTGGTTATTAACTTTAGCCATGTAACCCCTTTCCCTCCAGGGAGATTCATTGGGTGGGACTGAAAATCCTAATCCTCCAGTCATGCCTGGATGTTTATTGTGGTCATCCCCTAACCCGAAGCTACCTAGAGACTGTCTACCCCTAGTCATCTCATTAGTATGGAAAAAAAAGGATTCTAAAGGTTTTAGTAGCTTTTTGCCTTGAAACAGATGAAGACCAAATACAGTTAGTCGTCCTTATCTGAGTTTTGCATTTGCTGTTTCAGCCAACTCAGCAAGTTTAGTATTATTACTCTTCTATTAGCCTGATTTGAAACTGTTTTGTTTCTATTTTTCTTCTTTATAAAATAAAATAGAATAAAGAAAATATTAGAAAAGTTTTTATCTTTACTGAATATGTATAGATTTCTTTCATGTCATTATTCCCTAAATAGTACAGTATAGCTACTATTTATATTCTATTTGTGTTTTGGTAGTTATTATATGTAATCTAGAGATTAATTAATCTATATGTGGAATAAGGTTTTTTTTGTTTTGGTTCCTCGAATGAGGTTCAATCCTCCACCACCACATGCCAGTCAGCCGCGCCCCCTGGTGGGCTGAGCTGGCCACACACACACACACACACACACACACAAACACACACAATAAATGTTAAAATAAAAAAAATTTAAAAAAAAATAAACTATATGTGACTATATGTGTAGGTTATATACCAGTATCATGACACTTCATAAAAGGTACTTAAGCATCTGCATATTTTGGTATCTGGAAGCAATGCCCCTAGGATATGAAATTATATCTATATACCTTTAACAGCCTCACAAAGACTATCTAGGAAGTTATGATAGTAATGTAGCCCATAGGGTAGTGAGGCTTAGAGAACGAGCAATGCAGAGAGAAGGGCAAGACTGGAAAGAAATTTAGGAGAATAGGCAGTTCTAGTTCTTGGTTATGTGTGGGATGATGACATCTTGGTTCCACTTACTAAAAAAGCAAGGAAGAATGGTTGTTGGGATGCTCTGAGGGTCATTTCAGGAGGGGAATAGCTCAAGGTGGTCAATACCCGGTTGTGGGAGTGGGTGGCTAAAGTAGAAAGGAAGAAACATATGAATTACTTTTTCAAATTTGTATTTTCTTCTGCAGGAGACCTGCTTGAAATGTGGTTTCAGCAAGGCCTCAGTTTCCTTCCTATAGCTCTTGTAATCTGGACAGCTGCTGCTTTCACGTTTTCATACATTATTGCAGTAACACTCCACCATGTTGACCCTGCTTTGCCTTATATCAGGTCAGTGATACATATTCTGTGTATAGCAAAAGCTTTATGTCTTCTCGATAGTTTACATTCAAGCTGATGTTTTATGTCAACATTTTGAAATGAAGATTTTTACATTGAAGTTACAAGAATGAAGGAATATAAAATGAAAGTTGCACTTAGCTCTTTCTGTGTGGTAGAGAAAATGAGGAGACAACAGGACAAGATACAGTTAGTGGGTTGATTAATGAATTGTCACCTTTTAGTGCCTTGTCTTTCACATAAGGGTTCAGGGCGTCTTATAATGTAACTGCAATTATTCTTCCTTTAGAATTAAAAATGCTACAAATAACAGTAGTGACAGAAGAAGATAGTAGTAATGACACATATTTTTTTTTCCTTGCAATTGCCAGGCAGGTTCTTATACTGATGAGCTATCTCCCCAGCCTAACTAACACGTGTTTATTGATTCTTATTATGTAGATGCTGATATTTTAAGTATTCTTCTTCTTAAAACCTGGCCTTCAGTGAATACGCCTCCAACCACAGTTGTCTTCTGCGTTGATCTGTTGAGTGCCCAGCCCTATCTGACTGCCTACAATATTTCTACCTAACTTAGCTATCTATAATATTCCCCTCTCTGAAGAAGTAGCCTTAACTTCCATGAGGGGGAAAGAGTTGAAGACCAGTCTGGCTACTTCAAGCTGAAGAAGATGGTAGTTGTGACTGGCAGTCCTCAGAGGGTCTGTCTAAAGATCCTTGCTCAGTGCCAGGTGTTCTTGTCTTGGATAGAGGTACAGCTTTAAGTCTGGAGGAGACAAGATCATAGAAGCAAGAACTTTTGGGCCAAATGATAAAATCAATAGCATAAATGTGCATACAGCCAATAAACTTTCCCACCAGGAGGAGCCAGTAAGATTTCCATAAGAAAAACGTCCAGGAAATTTTAGAATCTGACACATCATTAGCCTGTCATCTAATATCTTAAATAGATATTAGCAGAAGGATCAGGAATGTACACATAATATTCAGCTTTTACAGTTGCATAAATACCCCTCTCTGTTGGTGTTAGAATGTCTCATGCCATCCCACTTCGGAGGATGTCTTGCCTCATTAATTTTACTTCTTCATTTACTGAGAGAGACCAGCCTCAGTGCCATTTAAGACCCACTGTGTATAGTTAGTTAAGGCCTCGATGTGTTATTGCATGACATCCTCTAACTCTAGTGAAGAGAAAGATAGAAGCCAAATGATCATAGCAGTGAAACACACTTTTAGACCATCAATACCATAGGCGGTGCAAGTTTTCAGGTTTCTCAATACTTTTGACATTTCTGCCTTGTAAATGTGCAAATTGCAGCATGTATCTTTTTATTTTTTCCAGGGAATAGCCATTGTGGGATTCCCATCTCATTCTGGGATGATTCAGCCAGCTTGCTGCAAATCTTCAGCCATATATTTATTGTGTATATAAATTGTTTGAAGTGATGTTTGTCCTAAATATTTAGTAGAGTTAGACCAATGAAAATAGGAATGATTTTTATTCCCAACATAAATATTTCCTTTCTCTTAAGATGTCTTATATTGAAGTTTAGTTCTAGATAATCATCCCATATCTGGTTGTTGCATTCAGATTAAGACACTTACTTTTGGGGGTGGGGAGATATCTCAGTGAAATAAGCACTTGCCTGGCAAGTGAAGGACCTGAGTTCAATCCCCAGTTCTGCCAAAAAAAAAAAAAAAAAAAAAAGACACTTACTTTTGGTTAATGGGAATCCTACTAGAGCTTTTAAAGAGGCTTCAGTGGCATTATCAGAAAAAAGCTTACTATATCCAGGATTGTTAAGCATATAGTTTATAGACCATTTAGTACCTTGTAATGGTGGGCTAAATGATGAACCTTTGAACTCTTGTGACTCATCAATATAGTCTTGTAGTTTATTCCAGTCATCTCCTTGGAGTAGTAATACCCACCAAAGAAGTCCAGATGTACTGGACAACGAGCAGGCCACATAGTGAGCATATTTTTTTTGTGATGACTGCATATTCTGTGTCTACCTTAGAAAGGAACTGCATTCAGCCCTGAATGGTAAAATGATTAGTAAAAGGGCTAAGAGTAACATCCTAGATTATTTATCTGAAGACTTTGTTATTTTCTTGAACAAATATCTTAAGTCTTCTGTGGGTTCCCAGTAGTATTCCAGTGGTGAGCACCAGTCTGTACTTCCCAGGACCTGAGTTGGCAGTGGTGTGTCAAGGAGTCGAGGGCTGCTACTAACAGCTAATGGAGTTGGCAGGATCTCAGGTTGGTCCTAGAGAAGGAAATGATGAGGGAAGAGACCATACCAGTATTAAGTCTTCAGAGTGGAATATGGGATTTCCCTTTTCTAGGCTGCGCTTTCATTAACTGTTGGAATGTCTATTGGGATTTAGCCAGTGATGTGATATCCTTCAGTGAGGATTGAAGAGAAAATCATTAGTGAGAAAAGGGAGTCTACAGAGCAATTCAAATGGACTGAGACCTAGAATTTGAGGTGTATTTCTTATTTTAATGAGAATTAAAGGTATTTAGCAAGGCCACTGGAGATTTGGTCTTTGAGCCATTTTGCAAAGATGTCTCTTTATGGTCTCATTCATTTTGTTCCACTTTTCCTGATGATTGTGGCCTCCATGCACAATGGTGGTGATAGAAGATGCGTAGTACCTGAAAGACGCTATGTGTAACTGCTTTGAAACAAAGCCCTTAGCTCGTAGGAAGTCCAAATCTGGGGATGATTTCTGAGACTAAAACTTTTACTACCCTCTTGTGCCTTTTCTCTTTTACAAGGAAAAGCTTCAACCCAGTTTGTGAAGGTAATTTCCCAGACTAATAAGTATTGAACTCCTTTACTCTTCGGCATATGTGTGAAATCAAGCCGCCAGTAAGTCTAGAAACTG